GGGTTTAGGGTTTAGGGTTAAAGTAGCAGCCAGAAATTTGGAAGATCAACATCTTCATGCCCTGAACCGGGGTTGAATAGAACCCAACAGTTCGATGACAGGGTTTTCGACTGAGGCCTCGAGCGTCACTGCCTTGTCTTGTTCGGCTAAGGGTTTAGGGTTCTAGGGTTTGGGGTTTAGCGCTTAGGGAGCTGCGCGCACATTGACAACAAGGGTACCCCGAAACCATACCCTCCAGGGTTTAGAGTTTAGGTTTAGGGTTTAGGGCTTAGGGTTACGAACAGCCTGTGCCAACAAGGCACGAAGGCATGCAAAGAGTCAGCCTGAATAAGACACGCATGACACACCTGCATGCAAAGAGTCAGCCTGAATAAGACACGCATGACACACCTTGCTACCGAATTGTTGAAAATCCCATAAATGAAAACCCTAAACCCTGAACGCTAAACACCCGACGGAAGCTCCCCAGACCCCCCGTCCTAAGACCTTTGAAACCTTGCCCTAAACCATGAAGCCTGAGATCCTGGGTTTAGGGTTTAGGGTTTTTAGGGTGAACTGTCTTTGGCACATAGGTCTCTGACGATGGCCAAGCCTTAAGGCCTTGATCAAAACTCTCATAGTCATAGAGCTCTTGCAGAACCCTAAAGCCCACCCCCGAACTCCATACTGTAGGGGCCTTTAATAATTAGAATAGGGTTTTCTGGCCCATTGTGCTATAATCACAACAAGGAACCTCCACAATAGTATAGGTAAGTATTTAGGCCCGAGGCCTAAACTGCTAAGACTTTGAACCCAAACCATCCCGGACCCCGAAGCCTCAAACCCGGCCCAAACTCCCGAACCCATAGCCCTAAACCCTAATTTATAGAACCCTAAACCCCAAACCCTGAATACCTGAATCCCCATACCGCTACAAAGGCCTAAACTCTAAACCCTTATGGAACCCAAAATTTTTAGAGAACCACAAATTCTGAAGCCTTATGGGGCCTGAAACCTTCTGAAAACCCCAGCAGTATACAAAATAATCAGAAGAAGGAGCGCTATAGAGGGTTAAGGTGAACCCCTGCAACCTAAGCCTTGAGCCCCAAAGCCCAAGCCCTATAAACCTGCCTAGAACCAAACCCCAAAAATTAAAATGGCTCCGAGGTTTTAAAGTTATCCATATCATAGGGTTAACCCTAAACCCTAAACCCCCTGAAACCCAAATTATCCATATTCTGGGTTTAACCCTAAACCCTAAACCCCCTGAAACCCCCCAAAGTGCGATCCATCCTTCAGAGTCGACAAGTGATCGGCTGCTGAATCGGCCTTGACTCAGGCTCTCGGGTTTACTTTTGCCCTCCCCAGGGTTTAGGGGTGCCAGGTTTAGGGTTTTAGGATTTATGGTTTAAGGGTTGAGGTTTAGGAATTTGGGTTTTCGGTTTAAGGCTTACCTAGTATAGGATACTAATTGTCGCGAGCTTGTTTCGGCTGCGGTTTGGGACCTGCTTGCCTTACCATAGGATTTTGCAGGTGAAAAAACGACTAAAGCCGAAAATGCAGGTGAAAAATCATCCAAAGTGGTTATCGAAAAACTAAAATGCGATAATTCGGGTGCCCCCCGGCGGGGTGCTATAGACTCCACCGCCTGCCCCGGCCCACCGGACAATGCACAACCAGCACCACAGCACAAGACATGGCAGCTCCAACCGACGAGTGGCAAAACTGACAAAACATCATGGCCATCATGGCATTACTGGGGCAGGGGTGGCCCAGGCCAGGGTCCAGCCAGCACCGCCGTCTTCATGTTGTCAGTTGTCATGAACCTATGCCCGGCAACAGCCGGGTGGACCGTTATGCAGCGACATGTGCCATAAATCGCATAAGGGCACCCTCAGGCTGCATAGGACAGCCACTTCCGCATAACTTCCGCATAACTTCTGCATAATTATCGCGCAACTTCTGCATAGGCGCGATAATTATGCAGAAGTTA